TTCATTCAATTTATATAGCTGCCCATCTCAGACCAGTGACTCTGGGCAGCTAACAACAATATATGTTAATGTTAATTTCCTAATCTTGACCCTCCCAGGCTGCTTCAAACATTACTAGTTTTCTATGCAGATAAAATTATTATTCTATAAAATAAAAGAGTTACAATTGTAATACAGTTAATTATATTCAGCGCATTTGCTAAATATATGTGCGTGTGTGTGAGTTGAGATGTCTTGTATCTGAGGTGATGAAGATTGACTGTCCTGTTGCTTTCTAATATGCTCTAATAACAGAGTGAGTGCTCCTGTGCTGACAAAAATAGACCAAAAAAGATCCATTAAAAACCAAGAGAGAAAAACTAGCACTCTCACACACATGGTCATGTATACCTAGTAACACCCAGAGCCCAGCATATTTGATGGTCATCAAGAGTCTTGCCATATTATTTTAGAAGAGCAGAATGCAAACATGAGGAATTAATTGGCTCGATTGGCCTCTTACATATTGCACAAAGGCATAACCAGAAGGGCCTTTCCTTTTTACCATATAGAACACTAGATTCTAATGGTAGTTAAATAGCTACGATGGTTAACCACCTTCAGGGGGAAAGGCAAAAGGCATATTTTGGTCTGGGATAAGCAGGCTTAGAGCATCGTGGTAGAGGTGAAAAGAAAAACTAGAAAAACAAGTGGTGGTTTTCAAAACTAGTAGGGAATGCCAGGAATGCCAAAAGTTTAGCAACAAGAAAAAATCTGAGATTGATCATCTTGGAAATATACCAGAGTGGAGGATTCTCTCCTAATTGCAGATAATTACATTTTATATAAATATTTCCTGAAGCATTGGGAATTGGTGCCTGCAAAACAGGTGTGCTATTTTGCTTTCTATCCATGCTCTCTAAGAATAGTTCTGCTAATAACAAGGCATATGCATAAAAAAGAATTCTAGGTATTAACGGCCCCATATAAATGCCAGTATCATCTATCTTCAAACACTTTTTTGCCTGAGATAATGATGATGTCAATGATGATGATGATGATGATGATGCCTTTTTTATATATAGCTCAAGGCAGCAAACATATCTAATACTCCTGCCTCATACTTTCCCCATAACAAGAACCCAGTGAGGTGGATTGGGCTGAGAGAGAGGGTCTGGCCCAAAGTCACCCAGCCTGGTTTTCATGCCTAAGGGAGGCCTGGAACTCACAGTCTCCTGGTTTCTAGCCAGCACCTAGATTACTTCCTCTTTCCACTTTTACTCTAGTTTCTTTTACTTCCTATCTTTTTTCTATGCCCATTTCCCCCCAATATTAGCTCTGGAGACTATCAAATAATGGTCTGCCCTGCTATCCTTCAGTTATTCTCTTGGTCTTCCACCATAATGATCAGATCACTCATGCCAAAAACTCAGCTAAAGCCCAGATTTACCCTAGTATGCCATGCTATTCCATGCAAGCTAGGACCTTTAATCCAGAAGTTATATTGGACAGGTGGTCTCTGACATCTTCAGTCCCTGAGAAATATAGAGCTTTATAGGTGGTAACCAGCACCATGAATTGCATTTAGAAGCATATTAGTAGCCAATGTAGCCCCCACAGCAAAGGTGTTACATGACAGTATGAAACTGTCCAGTAAGCATATGTACCAGTTGAAGCTTCTGGGTAGTCTTCATGGGTAGCTCCATGGAAAGCAAAATATGGTAGTCTGTATGGGAGATGACAAAAGGGTGACCCACCATCTTCAGTGTCTTCTGTTCTAATTAAGGCTGCAATTGGTACACTAGATTAAGTTGGGTAAAGGTCTTCCTGGCCTTTAATTTTATCATTTTTTTTCCATAAAAGAAAAAAGATCTAGATAGATGATCTAGAATTCTTTTGAGTATATGGGATTGTTGTTGTTCAGTCATTAAGTTGTGTCCGATTCTTCG